ACGCCGAAGCGAAATTGTTTGAAAACGTCACTTTTGCCGTAACAATTTGAGCACGGCTTCTAAACGGAGCGCTTGGCGGCTTCGTGTGAACACAAACGTCGTTACTTTCTTGTACCGCTTGCAAGCCAAGCATCTCAGCTTTCAAAACAGTAAATTTGAATGCTTTTCGTTTGAATTCCTTTGCGCTATTTGATACTGGGTTTACATGAGTGCTAATTTAATTTGTAAACAAACTTTAACGGCGTATAGTGTGAACACGTAAATTCTGCCGACATTATTTCGCCGTCCGGTGTCGAGTGTGAACCAGTGAACTAGTCTATATATACGTCTAAATTAACCGAATAAGATGCCTCAGAACTTGCTTCAGAAACTTGCTTTGTTCTTGAGATATTTAAAAATTTTCAGTGATAACAAATTGTGATGAAGATGTAGTTGTTATGCAGTAGTCCCACTGGTACACCGGACGTTCTTTCAGGATCTTTAACAGTCAGAGGAGTAGCCACAGGGAGGGAGGGGATAGGCAGGGTCTCCGAACCCACACGTTCCTTTAGGACCAATACTCCTTTCCCCTTTTGAGTAAAATTTTGATCTAGACAAGTCTGGACAAAAATTTTATCACAGCTTGAAAGAGCATCACAAAATTAGTATAATGTTCCGAAGTTTCGTTGCGAAATGTTGTAAAATGCGGATAATATAGCCTTGCGAAGTTTGCCGTTTTTCAGTCATTTTGCTTTACCGAAACGGGAAATTGGTAATCAGATGATCAAATAATCAGATGATTACCAATTTTCCATTTGTAATACAAAATGACTCAAAAACGGCAAACTTCGCAAGGCTATATTATCCGCATTTTACAACATTTAGCAACGAAACTTCGGAATATTATGATATTAATTTTGTGATGCTCTTTCAAGCTGTGATGAAATTTTTGTCCAGGCTTTTCTAGATCAAAATTTCACTCATAATGGGAAAGCTAGTCTATTTAATCACAATAGCAGAAAAATGAGCTCATTGAGCCATAAGTAATTTTTTTAGTGGATTTTTTTAGTTATTTTTTTATACAAATTCTCTATCAAAAATTGCTCTGTAGCTGATCTTAAAGTTATTTCACTCTGAATTGTCCAACTACAACTGTCATTATAATAGTATTTCCAATTCCCATTTTTGTGTCTGCCATTCCCAGTAACCCAAATCCATTTTCACAGTTCAAAAATATCCAAATCTCCCAGTTACTCATCCAGGAAAATTACAAATGGCAGTAAATCCTGAACACCGGGTGTGCCCTCTCCCCGGGCCATGCATATTTGCTTCTCTTCGCAAATTTTGGGGCTCTTTTAGGACTGAACAAATACAAGCATTAAAGTGAATGAAATTTCCGTTTCAAGAAGATAATGATGGCGTAAAAATCTGAATTGAATTTCAATATTTTGGAAAGAAAATCTAGCTAATATATGTAGCCGAAACCCAGCGGGCAAAATGACGTTTATTCAACGTTGAATCAAAGTTGGATATGACCTTCCAGACGTTGGTTAGACGTTGAAAAAGGATTGATAATGCAAATTGGATCGACGTTACTGTTTCGACGTTGAAACAACGTTGAAATTAGGTTGCCAATCTTGTCAACCATAATTTAACGTTGCATCGACGTTGAAACAACGTTGAGGTTACTTCACAAATCGACGTCGTACATTTAACGACGAATGAACGTTGATTCAACATCTGTTGGCTGCTGTTGAACCAATGTTTGTAAAACAACGTCAGAGCAACGTAGATAGTACGTTGTCGACGTCGCAACCTTTTTTCTACCAAATTTCAACGTTGAAACAACGTCGTGTGCCCGGTGGGAATGCAATGTGAAGTGATAAAGAAAGAGCAAGGGCAAAGAGAAAAGCACTCTGCATTGATTAGGCGTTCTTCAGGAAATATTTCTTCAAAAATGACAGAATTCTGGTTAGGCAGTGTGCAACTAACATTCTACACCACATCATGTTGCACGGTTTAACCCTTAATTCAGTATCTCTTTTAATAAGAAGGTCCGTGACCCTACTTTTTTTATTTTATATCAGTTTATTCTTCTATACGTTTTACATGCATGTCATATCAGAAAATAGGAGAAAAATCATAATAACATGTCTGAGAAAATGGGAAAAGACATCTTTGCACCACGACAATACACGTTAATGGTTTTTATTCGCTAAAATACCGTGGGTTCTTGTATATAATCGCTAGATAGACATTTATAGTAGGATCCTTGTTAAAAAACGATAACTATTGAGCAATTGCAATTGTTCCTATGTAACTCGTAAAAGGGTCAAGATGGCGCCAAATGTCCCATATGGGGGGGGGGGGGGGGGGGGGGGGAAGGTGGCATATTGCACTTGTCATATCTTCGAAACGAGTTTGGTGACTTTTTTCTGTTTTTACTATGAGCGTATATCATAAACTTCACCCCTGGGCAGTTTGAGCAATTTCTCATTTCCACAACAAGTATAATTACTGATGGATTCTCTTAATAATTTAAAATCAGGGATAAGGGAGGGACTAAGGACCTTTCAATTTTGGAAAGTGGAAGCACCACTTTCAAGTTTTCCAGGAATGTCGCATTTTTTCGGCGAACTGAGCATGAGCGAGCTCATGTTTTCATTTTGGTTGCATTTTATGCGATTTTACTTTACTAGAAATCGTGGAATAAAGCAAGGTAAAATGTATAATATATCAATTTCTTAACCGAAGAAGTTGAAATGGCAACAGCTTCATCTTTAGACAGCGTTGCAGAAATCGAAGATTTGCTCACATGTTCGATTTGTTCGGAGACGTTGAGCGAGCCTCGAAGCTTGCACTGTTTTCATAATTTTTGTAAAGAATGTTTGGGAAAATACGTCGAACGTCTTCGAGGACCTGACAAGGACATCGAGACATTCCCATGCCCTACATGTCGCTCGGAGTTTACGCTTAAATCAAACCAAAATGTCGCCGACTTGGCAAGCAATTATTTCATCAAGAATATGCTGGAAATTATGGCGATTCAACGACAAGCGAAAGCTGCCCGTTGTTCGTCATGTCAGGAAACGGCGGTAAATCGTTGTATGACCTGTGAAATGTTTATGTGTGAAAAATGTTCGAATTATCATTCGATATGGCCGGTGATGAAAGATCACGATGTATTGTCCGTCGAGGAACTGAGCAATCCTCAAAGTCAAGTTAAGATGAGAAGCAAGCTTTACTGCGTGAAACACAAAGACAAAATACTCGAATATTATTGCGAAACATGCAAGGAACTTAGCTGTATACATTGTATGGTTTTAAATCACATCAAACAAAACCATTCCTGCGTTTCCGTGGAGGAAATCGCACAGAAACAAAGGGAAATATTACAAGGAAGCTGTACAACACTTGATGAAAAAGTATCTGCAGGAAGGCAAGCATTGAATGCTGTTGACGAGGTCATGAAATCACTTGAGGCAAATGCAAAGAATGCCAAAGATAAAATTAATGCACAGAAGGATAAAATCCTGACGAGCATAACAGAAAAGCTTGAGGTCCAGGCTAAGAAATTGTCTCAAGATGTGGACAATGTTTATGGTGAATTGTATGGTGAATTAACCAAGCAACATGGGGAAATCAAAGATTATCTTGATAAAGTCCAAGGTTCAGTGTCATTGCCGAGGAATCTCTTAAAGAGAGGGAGTATTGAAGAAATTGTCTCGTCTCAGAAAGTGATTGATGAAAATATTGAGAAATTAGAAAATGAGCAGCCTGAAAATCTTGCACCAATAAATGATGGTGGTGTCCAGTACATAACACGGAATATTGAGAACATCAATTATGGTGATATTGTGGATAAACTTGGAAATATAAACTTAGGTCAGTATATATTTAGCACACTAAATATATACATAAGATCAAAATATTTCCCCCTGCAGCAGCAGCAGCAGACACTTCATGAAATATTGGCGGTGGGGGTTGGGGGGGGGGGGGCGAATTAGATTGGCAACAACATATAATCAATCACACTTTTTTACTGGAAATCTTAGTTCTTTAACTTTTTTGCCTTACTTTTCATGCTATATTTTTATAATTATAGTTTTCAATAGTTTATAGCCTTAACCAATGCTTTCAGAAATATTGTTAGTGGGCAGTTCCCCTGGCCCCTTGAGTGTAACCATATGTAATATGCCATGTTCCAACAATAAGAACATGATGATTTGATGCCTCCTGTTTCTGTCAAATAGCACCGCAGGATGTAAATTGTATGCAGTACTGTAAACCTCCGACTATAAGCCCTGGGCTTCTATAAGCCCTGGGCTTCTATAAGCCCTGGGCTTATATTATTTTGTAAGCGATTTTTGATGGGCTTATACAAAGGTGGGCTTATATACGGGGGTCTTATACATGGACGATTTTTTGTGTTAGTGTAATAGTAATAAACAAGTATAGTAATAGTGATAAACATGTGTTAAACAAGCATAGTAATAGTGATAAATAGTCTTAATAGTGATAAACAATATAGTGATAAACAAGTGGGCTTATATTCGGATGGGCTTATATTCGGGGGAGGGGGCTTATATTTGGAATGAGGTGAGCGTTAGTACATGTGGTGGGCTTATACACTGGTGGGCTTATATTCGGGGGGGCTTATATTTGGGGGGGGGCTTATTTTTGGAGGTTTACGGTACTAGACTGACTCGGATGTGTTACTATAAGTATTGAGTGGCAGCACTCTCCTCCTGTCTAGCATTAGACATAGTAAAATAATAAAGTAGGGCGCATCTGGGCGCATTGCCACTAAAAGGGTTAATTAAGGAATGAAATCCCAGAAATCTTGTGGCCCTACGATTTACCTTCTACAGGTAAATAATGTCAGGCAATTTCCACCAACGTTGAGCAAATTTTTGGCTCCCCGCCTTCCTTCCTAATTCCCCCTCCCCCCAATATTCCTATGCTATTCATATCCATATCCCACACATTTTTAGATGATTTTGGTCAATTGCATCAAAAGTAAACCTGATTGGTGCATTCACACCTGAAGTTTGTCAATTATACAGGAAGTTATCTAGTTGTGAAAGAACTCCATAGAATAAATTGGTTTGTGTGAGCAACTATTAGGGATGAAACGGATTTGGATAATGTTATCCATTAAAAAATAGATGTCTGGCAGTATCTGGTGTCTGGCAAAATTTGGCCAGACATTTACTGGAGACTTTTATTAGAACTATTTCATGTCTTTTTTGTGTGTTAAAACAGGAACACTTACATGTACTGTACATGAATTGCATACATGACATGCAGAAAACGTTTTCGAGATGTAAACTGCTTTCTGCTCTAACATTTTGTCTTTATTTTTAGCTGAACAACTGGCAGATGATTTACGGCCATCAGGTGATTTAGAATTATCTAGTATTTTAAAAGGAGAGATTGCATTCATTCAACAACTACAGAAATGGTTGGGAGAGAAGTGTAAATGGAACCTTTGCTATCGAGCATCTCGAGATGGCTGGAGTGCCAACGATTTTCACAGACATTGTGACAATAAAGGACCTACAGTGGTTTTGGTGAAAGCCAATATAAACTGTATTTTTGGCGGATACACTGACCAAAATTGGGGAGGTATATTTTTTTGTATGCATCTTGCTTTTTCAGGAACTTTTTTAATCAAAGAGTCGCTCCCAGTGTAGGTAGTGTAGAGTACAAACTTTTGCAGTTGATACAACTTTTGAATTTTGGTCAGGCCACTCAAAATTAGAGTTTAGTTTCCCGTCCGGCCCTTATTTCAAATTACACGCGGGCGCGGGCGGTCCATTTCCATTATCCATTATGGTGTCTGAAAGATGAAACAAGACCCATTATTTCATGAAATGGATAAGCGTTTAAAATATCCATTCAGCCACGTTTCTACGAAATGTTTTAGTTTTTTGTATGCAGAAATGAAAGCTAAGATATTAATCATGTCATCTTTTACGTTCGAAAATCTAAACTTGTAACGGGAGTGCCTAGCTCAGCAAACGGCAATATTGACAAAAGTTTCAATATTAATGTTATTTCGATTTTTACATCTTATGTACGTATTTCTTGAAGTTCTTGAACGATAGATCATTTGAAAACTGTGGATTTTCGTTTTTGTTAGTTACAAATGTCAAATAATGGAAACAAGTTAGCAATAATGGACAAATCATGCGCCGTGGGCGGAAGACGGGAAACTAAAGTCTACTGTAGTTTGGAGTGGCCAAAAAATTTTCGGATCAATACTGTTACTCCTGAATGAACACTTGAATAACTATTCATGAAAACTTTACTTTATTCAATTCTTATGAAGAACAAACACATATATATATATATATATATATATATATATATATATATATATATATATATATATATATATATATATATATATATATATATATATATATATATATATATATATATATATATTAATTGCCGATAAGGCTCTCAGGCCAACGTTCAAAGATTTGTTGACACTTAGTCTATTAAATGTTTACGCTAAACTCAGTCTTTTATAAGCCCTCAGGCGAGCAATTAACTTAATAACATTCATAATAAATACAATAATTAGCAATTGTAGCTACAAATACTATTGTACTATTGTACTATTGTACTATTGTAACAATATTATATTGGCATATTTCAGTTAAATCGTATGTTATTGTTAATTTTTTACATATTTTGTTGATTTAGGTTGCGAAGGATGGACTCACTCTAAATCGTCATTTTTGTTTTCCTTGCGGAACAAAGACAACCTGGCTCCATTTATTGCCAAAATTAAGGAAGGTAATGAGGGGCAAGCAATCTACAGTGCTCAAACTTTTGGTCCTTGGTTTGGTAGTAATGATGTGTTAATTTGGAACAATTCCAATCATAATCAGTTATCATACTGTGATTTTGGACAAACATATCAACTTCCCCCTGGTTACATCAAAAACAATGACCAAACAAAAAACCTCCTCGCCGGTGAGTTCAAATTCTCGACATCAGAAATTGAAATATTCAACTAAGAACTGGTTACAATGTTTACAATAACCCAAAAACCATTATTGGTTGAATAACTCATCCACGTTCCTTTCTTCTGGTCTTGGCTGGGAATACACGCATCAATCTTGTATATTTGACCAGTTTGGTATACTGCATGTAGTATGTAAATCGTATAGTTCTTTGTATTAATGATTTGAACAAATTTTAGAATTGAAATTTAGACATAGTTATTTTTCATTACCAAAGAAAAGTGTTAATAGGAACATATATCATTTTTATAAACTCACTTGCGCTATAAATCATGCCGAGTATTGCGCGTTTGAAAGTTTTACCAAATAGAAATAAAAGAAAAACTCGTTATCGCGAACTTGGTGATTGTTCTCTCCTTTTAGGTAGGAGAATGCATCGTTAGTGATACTCCTTCCACCTATGAAATTAGGATTTCATGCCTGCAATGTAGTTATCTGATTATAATATCACCTCAATTTGGAAACATCCGACATGGTTTCTGGGCTAGTTCCTTCATTAGCACTGGACCAACAAAGGCCAATCAAGATGCTTCTACTGAACCTTTGGCAAGAAAAGGTAGACGGAAGGAACTTCATCTACCCAATCCATGTATTTGAATTCGAATAAGTTTAGTTTAACTTGAATAAGTTCAGTTGGTTTATGGTAGTACAGCCCGCGCGCCATGTTTCTGCTCGAACTTTCTACAGGCTTTTCAGCCCAACACATACACCAGAGGTGGGCTGGAGCGCCCCTCTCCCCTTGCTTTTTTTAAATGAATGGGATTTTTTGGGATTAATTTTTAGAAATAAGACCTTGGGATTTTTCTTGGAATTTTTCTAGTCAACGAGTAATAGAAAAAGATTTTTATCGGGGAGATAGTTGTGAATTAGTACATCTAATGCATGTTTTCATTAGTGAAAAGATCTTTATTGGGGCAAAATAAGACATTTAGGTCTACATCTTGAAAATGTTGATCGGATCCAGATATTCGTGGATAAATGGGATCCAGCTCTTTTATTTATTTCAAATAATTTCAACAATGTTGAGTCTGTTTCAGTCTTCTTTTCGGAAAACGGAATGCCTTGGGATTTTTTTTTAGATAAAAGCGGAAATCCTGGGATATTTTAGGGTCTTGGTAGGAATTTTCCTCCACCTGGCAACTCTGGCCCTCTTGGGAAAATTCAAACTTGTTAAAAGCATGAGAAATACATTTTAATATCTTGTAATGTAAATATTTTTATCCTACTGTGTTTTGTTAGTCCTGTACTTGTCGAAGACCACCATCAATAGATTCTAGACCTGTGGGCTGTGGCGAACGTCTTGTCAAAAACAAAAATTATGTTGCATGGTCAGTGAACGTCCCAATCATTATTTTAATTTGAGTTAGGTATACAAAAACTTTCCAAGAAACCCATTTTCCATTGGTCTGGTTCAAAAGTCCCAATTATCATGTCTCAATTACCTGACTAAATATAATTATTTGACATTGAATCAATATTTCAGTGAGGTCAGTATGCCATGCTTTCGTCACTTCAGTGTTATTATGAAGTGGTTTTGGTTATTCAGACACAAACACTACCGGTCCCCCAATTGAACGAGGACCTTGGCAAGGAATTTTGTTGCCAGGAAGGAAATAAGAAGGATATTACTTTATTTCTAATAAATCCTACGATTACAGCAATTTCCAAGCAAATTCGCTTCAGAAAATGTCGAAAATCCTGTCCTGGGGAATGGAAAATCTGAAAAATTTCTGAGGGATGACCTCAAATACCCTGTTCCTTCTACCTCGAATAAATTTAGGTAAACTTCCCTTTTGACAATCCCTCCCCTGCAACGTCCATGATCCTTCTAGCCCGAGAAACACACCGTTATTCAGGATTATTGTAGCTAATGTCAGCTTTAACTTTTAAACTAGGTAAAATTCATCAACTTTCGTGCAAGGAAATTTTGTCAAATTGTCAAAAATAGAAAAATAGGGAAATTTTGAGCAATGGGGAAGGAAATTATTTTTTGAGAGTGGAAGCACTGCGCTTACCAACGAGTGAGAAACTCAATAAACTCAATAAATACAACGCCGCTGTTCTAAAATTTCGATACCATTGTGGAGCGCGCCGGTGTCACAGCGGATACTATCCCCCCCCCCCCCCGAAAGAGTGTCCTCCGGAAACTATCCGCTGCTAGCTGATCATCTTTCCCTGGACACCTTCCGCGTTGCGGACGATTGACATCGGGACAATGACATCGGGTTCCACGACATTTTTTGATGGCCTGTTTATCATCGCAAGGCTATACGGCCTTATATGATCCTGATACTAGAAACGATGTGGCTACGACTCTTTATGAATATACAATAATTGTTTATTAATTATTTTTGAAAAAACTTTACAACGATAATTATTCTAATCTACAAACAATGTTATACTAGAACTAATTCTAAGTATCTAAAGTCATTCTGCAGTCCTCGTTCTCGTTTTGGATTGTATGAAATACAAAGTATACATAGTTCGACATATAGTCTTCAGGTAGAGTACATGTTCGAAAATTTAATCACACCATGACTTGCAGGGCCTTTTTTAAGGACTTTCCCGTGGGGGGGCATTGTTTGAAAAGGGACTTTTCTGTGAGATAATATATTAGAGGGGGATAGCAATGGCTGAAGGCTACGTGTGTGGCCAATATACCACGCATGAATGGGGGGTGGTCTGGGGGAGTACTCCCCCAGAAATTTTTTGAAATTTGAATCCCGGAAATGTCATTTCCTGCATTCTGAGAATCCAAATTTGCTCCAAAATTTATGCTAACTATACTGTCTTGTATTTGAAATAAATAAAGGAAAAAACGCACAAAAAGTTTAAAAAATTAACCATCATTTATCGTTAGTTATTAGAGGAGGATGGCAATGGTCAGGTGTGTGGGGTGTACTCCCCCAGAAAATTTTTGAAATTTGAAGCACGGAAATGCCATTTCATGCATTCTGAGCATCCAAATTTGCTATAAAATTTATGCTAACTATACTTGTATTTGAAATAAAAGATGGAAAACTGCACAAAAAGTAAAAAAGAATATTAACTGTAATTTATCATTACTTATTAGAGGGATAATCCCCAGAAAATTTTTGAAATTTGAAACCTGGAAATGCTATTTCCTGCATTCTGAGCATCCAAAAAATAAAAAATTATTAACAATAATTTATCATTACTTAGTGGTAGAAAAAAGTAACAATTTAAATCGATTTTGTTAAACAAGGACAAAGCCTAAAACTTACTTTCCTTTTATGTATTTGTTAATCTTCGCTGGTTTGTTTCTATAATTTTAGGGAAAAGGGACTTTCCCTGGGGGGGCAAAATGTGATTTCGTGGGGGGGGGGCATGTTAAAAAAGGCCCTGATGACTTGTGAGTGTTACTTCGAGAAAGTGTTCTTGCCAAATATTTACCCCTTCCATGATTGACGAAATGCTTATACTCGAAACATTAATATCTGTAAATGTCAACATAATGTAACAGTTCACTGGCTTACATACAGGAACACCAAATCCGTAGTTTCGCGATCGTAAGTGAGACCAAATCAAAGAATATAGTAGTTCAAGCCGTTCCTAACTTGCACAACTCCGCCTCCGGATTTTCTCCAATTTTTTTTCCTGCGGAAATCTGTTTCAAATCTTTACGCCTTTTACCATTATTTCGGAACCGACCGTTAGTCAATTATCCAATTGAATTTTCAACAAATATATGACAATATGTCACGCATTATGCTACAGGTACGAATGTATCATATAGGCCTAGGATGAGCATCCAAAAGATGCAATTCCGTTGCACCCCTCGTGTAACTACGTAATTTTCACATGAATAAATAGATAAAAACTTACTTTATCAGAATCCGTTGCTCCCCAAGCGAAACAGGTGCACAATTGGGAGAAAAATCCCTCCAAAGTTTGATATTTTCGCGCTTCGAAATACTCGAACCGCCATTATTTTGGTAGCAAATACGCATGCGCAACTCAGCCAAACTCGCACTGCGCACGCGCAGACTATAAAAATAGATTCTCACTGGGGGGTTTCCCCGATTTCCTCCGCAAAAACAACAAAATAAAATCACGGAATACTGATAAACCTTGTAATATAAATACACCCACATTAAATATTGTTAAAAACACATTGTATATTTTGCTTGCTCATATGCTAAATCACTTCAATTCATTGGCTATTGTTTCAAAATACCGTTTTAACGTTGAATTATACTTTATATTAACATCCTAATTCAATACAAATTTGTGTGAGGTAAAAAACCCACCTGTATAAAACAGGACGAAGAAATGAAAAATATATATACATACAATTCACACGATCAAGGAACAAATGAAATATTTCGCTAAACTTAAAGCCTTGGCCAAACGTAAGAAACAATGTCGCGGAAATGTTCGTGATTTTTAATTGGCTTTTATTGCAGACGCAAAATTTGCTTCCCAGAAAGCAAATTATTTCCTACCAAATTCAGCATTTCAGCTCCTCCACCAGGGTGCGTTTTAGCTTCCCAGACATGACCATACTGTTACCCTGTCCATGAGAGGGATATGTGTTGATAATATAAATGCTGTGGATCCGATTGAGAATATCGAATAAGTAAATAAATACTGATCTACTCCACTGATAATATCTATGTGCATTACCACCATTGTTCACCTCAAATCATTAATAATTCATGAGCAATTAGCCAACCATATTGCTTTATTTTACTCGCATAATACTAGATCCCTTATGAAGTATATTGATCCTGTAGTGTCCTAGGACTGGATTAAAATTATTTCAGTCCTTGAACTGGATTAAAATTAATTAAGTAGTGATTTATTTGTATGAGATGTCATTTTAAATCCTCCAATTCGGACTGGACTAGATTTCAAGTCCTCACATTTTGATCCAGTCCTCTGCTTTGCCTCGGACGTAATCAAATTGTGTGGACTTGAAATCTAGTCTAGTCCTGACCTCGTAGTCGGATTTGAAATATTATCCCTTGTCAAATCAGATGCCAATGGTGGCCAAGGAAGATTCAGTTTTGGTATTTCTTGCACCTTTTGGTGAAGAATCAATGCAGCATTGTATAGAATTTGTAACTCATTGACTTTAGAATTTCCCTCAGTTTCTGTGTTGGAATTCACATCATCATAATCAATGGTACAGCTCTCTTCATCAAAGTCCTCATCATTGTTTTCAGACTTAGGGCCTGTTTATATGGAAGCCAGGCCGATAAGCGAGACAGCCTGGTAAGCGAGATCTCGCTGTGTAGTTATTTTTATAGTAAAAATTATTATGCGTTTATATGGACAAGCGGGCCGGCCCGGTTGCCGAGATCTTGTTGAAAGAGGCTAGATCTTGCTTACCGGGATGGAAATTTCTCCATATAAACATTTACAAGCGGGCAATCCCGGTTGCTGGGATGAAAGTTCAAAGATACCGCCGCAATCTATTTTTAACAACTGTCAAAACAATACAATGTAACAAAATCGTCCCGGCAAGCGGGATGAAAGTTTCTCATATAAACACAAGAGAAATTCATCCCGCTTACCGGGCTGTTTCGCTAAGCGGGCCAGCCCGACTTCCATATAAACAGGCCCTTAATTGACATATGTTCCTCAACCAATTCAGAAGAATCCAAATTTTCCACATATTATACAATCTCACTGACACTAACATTTCTCATTTTCGGTACACAGAACACAAGTTGGGGATAACTTTTCATCAGTCATTGCTTGAGTTTAAAAGCTCTATATTTAGATGCATCCATATTCTCAGTGTCCTTAGCAATGATAACAAAATTTCTCCAGCAAATCTTTCATATACTTTATTTGCTTATTTCCGATGACCTCCATCTCAATTACTTTTTTACAGAATACATCATAAGACTTCTCGTACACTGATGCTCTTGTTGCTTCTTCGTCTCTCTGGTGAGAAATATTGTATAATTGCAGTAGCAATCTTTGTGATAGCGGATTTCCAGAGCTACACAGTCTTTCCCCTGGATTTGCACGAGTATCTGTTGATCATTCTTTCTCTCGGCAGCTGTACGTAGAAGACAAGCATGAATTGTTTCTGCCAACATGAGTGCGGAGTGGGGTTCTTCTTCTCTTCTTAGTTGCCTGGTGTGAAACAAAATAAATTATTAAACTAAATATCTACTAATAACAAGGTTGGATGTTTTGTAGCATAGCAACTACTTTACCCTAAGTAAACTTAATTGATCACAATTCAATATATTTTAAAACCAAACCTGAGAATGTTGTGCACATTGCCCTAGTATTATACCTATCAAAATGACCATACCTTGTCTAGTGAGACCCACGAGGCGTCTCTTCCACAAATAATACATATCTCTGGGAGTACATGCGCGTTTCTTTTAGGCAGGGCCTTTATATTTATAGCTTCTGCGACTGATTGACGTGTAATTTTTCGCCTTGGTTCTATTGCCTCCACGTCCACGTGTGATTCTTCGGTAGAAGTTACAGTTTTACAGCTAGTTCCTTCTCCTTTTTCTTCTTTTCTCTGTTATCTACAGATCTTCTCTTCATCACAAAATCTCTTCCAGCATTTCAAATGATGGTTCCATTCTAAGTTAATGGTTCAGGGTTCTTCCATGTATGAATTGACAGATCCGTCATCGATGTTCTCGTACGATTTCTTAGCTATTTCACTTGTTGACATTTAAGTTTGGCCCATTTTGACCTACACTCAAGAAATTTCTTAAGCCTTTGGCGTGTAACTTTGCAAAGTTGCTCCGTAACGCCATCAAAATGCATAAAACATGAGGATATTCGAGTTTATAAATATCTTCAGCCATGTTTATTTGCATAACTGAGCGTGTTTCCACTTCGAAGCATGTGCGTTGGTTAAGCGCGTGCGCAGTGCGAGTTTGGGTGAGTTGCGCATGCGTATTTGCTATCAAAACAATGGCGGTTCGAATATTTCGAAGCGCGAAAATATCAAACTTTGAAGGGTTTTTTCTCCCAAATGTGCACCTGTTTCGCTTGGGGAGCAACGGATTCTGATAAAGTAAGTTTTTATCTATTTATTCATGTGAAAATTACGTAGTTACACGAGGGTGCAACGGAATCCGTTTTCTAAGATGATATTAG